CCCTAAGACAGTACTCATAAAGGTCCAAAGTTTGAGAGCTAGAACCCAAAAGAAATGCAGATAAAGCCCAAAATCAAAATGACAATGGACCTCAAAAATGATGTAAATGCCATAAAATGAGTAGGATTGGCTAATATATGACAGCTCTTACATCAAATACGACGAGACGAGACGCCTTGGGAGGTGAAGAGGAACGCTAATTTTTTGGTTTATTATCACATTCTTAGTGATATTTCTGGTGTATTGCAGTGTGTGTCTATTTTTTAAAGTTGGTGCAATTCTCTTTGATAATAAACATGAGTATTTTGCACGGTTTTATCTATTAACTGTGAATTAAAATATTATCATTTCATTTTGATGCGTCTATTTTGTATATAATTTTTTTAACCTTTTACACCTTGACTCCGGAATGAAAATTTCTGGATCCGCCACTGCATAGCATAATGGCAATTAAATGCTTGGAAGGAGCTAGTCTTTTCTGCAATTGACAGTTTACCAGGTTGCTCGCACGCGGTTTCAACTTTCAAGACTTCATGTTAAATAGTTTTTATTTTTATTTTTTTAAAGTTTAGATAAGTTTATATTTTAATTGGTTTATTTCATATTATGCGAAGCTCATACCATCAGTTATATGTTTCACCAAAATAAATAAATAAAGATGCTTAAAGTTTGTTCTGCTAAAATTTCTCAAAGTCTCAAATGTGATACAATAATTTATTGGGAAGAAAATAAAGATGTTGGTATCCCAATTGGAAGTGACATAAATTTATGACGAGAATGTAGCAACTGAAACAAATGAAGAATGAGGGTCAAAACTGTTCTTTTGAATGAAGAATCGAAAATGATTGAATCCAGAATCATAGATACTTGGCCAACCAAGGTAGCTCCTTGCTGTCCTTGAGTGCAAATACGACATCGTCGCTGAAAGACAGACATAAAATCATATGAGGTCACAGAAAAGTCCAAGGTTTTCTTCTGATGGTAATGCAGTTGCATGAAAGGGTGAACCATCAAAGCCAAAGTTCAAAGTAGCTGTATTACACAGAATTCTAATAGGTATCAGAAGTTTTGGGAGAAAAAACTAACCTCGGAAAATTGAGCTGCAACTTCTGCAACCTATGCTTTGCTCCCGATTCACATAAAACAATTCTGCACTCCCCAAGCTTACAACTGCCAAAAATGTACAATTCAGATATTAAATAATCCATGCTTATATAAAGTTAGTATCAACTCCAGAAATTAACCTCTAATCGTTCTCACTAACTATTCTCCCGAAAGGCAATTGCAGACACAAATAACAGCACTCGAAAATGGACATCATAAACCATTTAAAAATGCAACCTGACATCCGCATCAAAGAAAACTTCAAATAGAGGGGGACCATCACCTAAAATAGTATGTGCAAAGTACAAAAGAAATGAAAGCAGTCATTTTATTTAACACTCAATATTTTCTTAGTCAAAAGCCAAAACTAGTGCCGCTCTTCAGGTTCATAACACTCCCATTTGACAAGACAACAAGGACCAGAGGAGATCAATGGACTATGTTTCTACACATGTATATAGCAAGATATTAGTATCAACGCATGTCTTACCCAATTTTTAAGAGCATGTCATGTCCGGGAAATGCTTCTCCGTTACTTGTACAGAGGCATGAGACTGTCATTGCCAACTGCAAGGAAAAACATAAATTCAATGAAAACACTATTACATATATATCAATTAATCGTAAAATTCCAGCGCTAGAAATCTACAGTGAAGGCATCAAAGAAACTGGTGAACCAAAATAAAAATAATCTGGTTTGTAGTTGAGATGCAGTATAGCAGTCAGGAACAATAAGTATTCTTTTAGTCAGTATTTCAATGCAAGCCTGCGGGCCAACAATAATCACCTCCAGTGTGAAATACTATTATTTTAAACAGAGGTTCCTCTGAATGTACAATACAAAAAGAGTAAATGCACACATCGTTCAGGAAAAAGCTTGAGAAGTTCACCTTTTCGAAAGTTGTTTCTGATAGATGCAGGGACGAATCCAGGATTTCAAAACTCGGTGGGCTAAATTTACTTTATGTACGCAAGAAATTTCAGCAGTGAAGGCCAAATTGCACCAAGTTGGACTTTAGAACACGTGTGATAGAAAAAAGAGATACACAAAATAAAAAAAGAGAAACGAAGGAAAAAAAAACAAGAGAAAAGCAAAATATATATATAGGAAGAAGAGACTGTGGGAAAAAGCTCAGTTCGTAGTAGATCCAAACCATTAAAAAATAAAAACGAAGGAGAAACAAAGGAAAAAAAACAAGAGAAAGGCCGGAAAAACAAAAAGAAATAGGAAGAAGAGAGAAAGGAGGAAAAGAAGAAAATAAGAAAAAGACAGAGCATGGGTATTGAAATTTTTTTAAAAAAATGCATGGGCTATAGCCCATACAACCCAATAGCTGGATTCGTCCCAGGATAGATGAACACCTCAGCTCAAGTTAGTTTAGTATTGTTAGAATACCCACGTGCTATTCACGTGTTAGTGTTGGCATCTGTTAAGCATGGCTGTTAATTAAGCCTTCAGTCCTTACAATTGTATATCAGGTAAACTTTGCATTGTAATATTCATTCAGTGAAAAAGATACAGAAAATCTCAATGTATTCTCTCTATTTTTCAGTCTTCTTCTTCCTTTGTTTTCCAAATACCTCTTCTGTTATCACAATGTCGTCACGAGACCTGCATAAAACTCATTTCCGTATGTTTTGCATGTTCTTAAGCTCAAAGCAAATCTATTATCCGTCCATCAACTGTGTAAAGACAATAATTGTTTTATAACATTTGACGTCTCTGGTTTTTATATACAAGACAAGATAACCAAGGCAATTCTTCTTCAAGGCAAGAGTAATCACGGTTTATATCCTATTCCTCTTGCTGCTTCTCAAAGATCTCGAGGTGTTTCTTCTATTTCTTCAGCTCCAGTTGCATATCTTGGACAACATGTCAACGTCTCTATCTGGCATCAAAGGTTAGGGCATCCAACAAATACCGTTGTGCAAAGAATGCTTCAAGATTCTGCTTTATCTATTTCTGCTGATACTTCTCAAGCACTATGTACTGCTTGTTTACATAAAATTCACAAGCTTTCTTTTCCTAAGGATCATGTTAAGTCTAGTGTTCCTTTTCAGCGGATACACAGTGATGTATGGGGTCCTTCCCGACATAAATCTATAGATGGTTTTAGATACTATGTCAGTTTCATTGATGAGTGTACTGGTTACTTGTGGCTTTATCCACTGTTTAATAAATCTGGAGTGTTTGACGAATTTCTCAAGTTCTATGCTCTAGTCACTAATCAGTTTAAGGCTCCTATTCAGTATTTTCAAAGTGATGGGGGCGGTGAGTTCATTAGACTATAGGCAATTTTCTTCTTTTTTGGATTCAAAAGGGATAATTCATCAGTTCTCTTGTCCATACACCCCTCAGCAAAATGGTTTGGCAGAGAGGAAGAATCACCATATTATCGAAATTGCTCTTACTTTACTAGTTGCTGCTGCTCTTCCTGATAAGTTCTGGTTTCATTTAGTTGCTCATGCTGCTTATCTCATCAATCTTATGCCTAGTTCAGTTTTAAGATATCAGTCTCCTTTTCAAAGCTTGTATGGCAAGGCTCCTGATATTAAATCTTTTAGGATTTTTGGTACTGCAGTTTACCCATATCTCAGACCTTATAATGAACATAAGCTTCAGCCAAGAACAGCTCAATGTGTTTTTATGGGATATTCTCAAGGTTATAAAGGGGTCATTTGTTCAATAGATCCACCGTAAGGTTTATTGTTTCTAGACATGTCATTCATGATGAAACTGTTTTTCCTTTTAAGTCTCATTCCATCTCAGTAGATTCAATTCCAGTTTCATGCTCTTCCAAGACTCAGCCTTTACCAATTTGTGTTTCACTTCCTCCATGTATACAAGTCTTAAATCCTAGTGATATATCTGGTTCTATATCTCCTCAACATGTTTCTTCACAAAATCATAGTTCACAGAGTGTTTCTATTTCATCTTTAGAATCTACTGAGAATCCTGCCTTGTCTTCCAGTGATTCAGTCTTATCTGTGATTAATGATCAGCAACTCCAAGCTCTCTTGCCTGCCTCCCCTTCTATCTCTAGTTCTGTGTCTCCTTCTTTTAACACTCATGCTATGCAGACTAGATCAAAGGCAAGTATCGTTAAGTCTAAATAGTTTGAAGATTATCAGTGCTATCATACCACTCTTACTGTTCTACATGATGCTGCTGAACCAGCCACTTATAAGGTTGCTTCTCAATCTGTTCATTGGATTCAAGCTATGAAGGTCGATGGGTATATCAAATTAAGAAAAACTCAGATGGTACTTTGGCTAGATATAAGGCAAGATTAGTTGCCCAAGGCTTCAGCCAAGCTCCTAGACTGGATTTCAGTGAAACTTTTAGCCTGTGGTCAGACACACCACAGTAAGGTTGATATTAAATATTGCAGCAATGAATCGATGGTCACTCCGTCAACTTGATGTTAAGAACGCATTTTTACATGGTGATCTTGAGGAAGAAGTCTATATGTGTCAGCCACAAGGTTTTGAGGATCCAAAACATCTCAATTATGTTTGCAAGTTACGAAAATCTCTTTATGGTCTTAAGCAAGCTCCAAGGGCTTGGAATGCCAAATTCACAGGTTATCTTCCAGCCATTGGTTTTGAATCATCTCACTTTGACCCTAGCTTATTTGTGACGCATCTAGGTTCAGATATTGTGATCCTTCTCTTATACGTGGATGATATAATATTGACTGGTTCAAAGGTAGCTTTGGTGCAAAAAGTTGTTGATGAATTAAGCTTAGCTTTTGATATGAAAGATATGGGGAAGTTGAAATATTTCTTTGGATTACAGATTTCTTATAATACAGCTGGAGATATCTTTGTTAACCAGGCTAAATATGCCAAAGATTTGCTTGCTAAGGCTGGTCTGAGTTCATGCCGACCTTGTACTACCCCTTGTAAACCACATGGTCAACTGTTATAGACTAAACGTGATGCTTTGACTGATCCTACAATCTACAGAAGCATTGTTGGTGCATTACAATATTTAACATTTACCAGACCTGAAATCTCTTATGCTGTTAACACAGTATGTCAGTTCATGACAACTCCTTCAGAGTTACATTTTCAGTTAGTTAAGAGGATTTTGCGCTATCTTCAAGGTACCTTGGATCATGGACTTACCATTACTAGTGGTGCTTGGGAACTTAATGCTTACAGTGATGCGGATTGGGCAGCATATATAAGTACTAGACGATCTATCACTGGTTTTGTGGTTTTCTTAGCTCATAATCCTATATCTTGGCAATCTAAGAAACAGAACTCAGTCTCACGGAGTTCAACCGAAGCAGAATACAGAGCATTGGCTCATACAGCAGTAGATTTGGCCTGGATTCGACAAGTTTTGCTTGATTTGAAAGTGTTTTCTACCTTAGCCTCCTACTATACATTGTGACAACCTTTCTGCTCTAGCATTGAGTTCTAATCCTGTGTTTCACTCACGGATCAAACATCTTGATATAGACTTTCACTTTGTTAGAGAAAGAGTACAAAGAAGAGATCTCTCCATGTAGTATATTCCAACAGATGAACAGGTTGCAGACATATTTACAAAAGGGTTACATAGTCCAATCTTCACAAAGCATTGTGGTAATTTGCGGCTTGGGAACCCAGCTGGATTTGAGGGGGAATGATAGATGAACACCTCAGCTCAAGTTAGTTTAGTATTGTTAGAATACCCACGTGCTATTCACGTGTTAGTGTTGGCATCTGTTAAGCATGGCTGTTAATTAAGCCTTCAGTCCTTACAATTGTATATCAGGTAAACTTTGCATTGTAATATTCATTCAGTGAAAAAGATACAGAAAATCTCAATGTATTCTCTCTATTTTTCAGTCTTCTTCTTCCTTTGTTTTCCAAATACCTCTTCTGTTATCACAATGTCGTCACGAGACCTAGAGCAAAATTGTTTTGAGACTATCAAGCGTTTATGAGAGAGAGAGAGAGAGAGAGAGAGAGAGAGAGAGAGAGAGAGAGAGAGAGAGAGAGAGAGAGAGAGAGAGAGAGAGAGAGAGAGAGAGAGAGAGAGAGAGAGAGAGAGAGAGAGAGAGAGAGAGAGAGAGAGAGAGAGAGAGAGAGAGAGAGAGAGAGAGAGAGAGAGAGAGAGAGAGAGAGAGAGAGAGAGAGAGAGAGAGAGAGAGAGAGAGAGAGAGAGAGAGAGAGAGAGAGAGAGAGAGAGAGAGAGAGAGAGAGAGAGAGAGAGAGAGAGAGAGAGAGAGAGAGAGAGAGAGAGAGAGAGAGAGAGAGAGAGAGAGAGAGAGAGAGAGAGAGAGAGAGAGAGAGAGAGAGAGAGAGAGAGAGAGAGAGAGAGAGAGAGAGAGAGAGAGAGAGAGAGAGAGAGAGAGAGAGAGAGAGAGAGAGAGAGAGAGAGAGAGAGAGAGAGAGAGAGAGAGAGAGAGAGAGAGAGAGAGAGAGAGAGAGAGAGAGAGAGAGAGAGAGAGAGAGAGAGAGAGAGAGTATCTTCTTCATGTGAAATGCAGAAACAACGGTGGCTGTGGCAGATTATTCTGACCACAAAATAACAACGGAATAGTTTTTACATGCAAATTTGTGTACATATCTGTGCATAAGATTTTGGAGAAGGCTGGCTAGCTAGCTGCTATATATCTTTCTTTTTCCTTTATCTTTTGGTTTAATACATAAAAGACATCTATAACTTGTGGAAAATAAAGTAATATTGCAAATTGGTAACATTGTCTATAATTACGAGTGAGAGATTTTATGCTAAATATGAGTGGATGGGTTGGATTATAGAGGCATTGTGTGCCTGTTGAGTGTTGCAGAAGTTTTCTGTACATAGCCTTAGATGCTCCGTATCAGCTTAAATTAAAGAAAATGAAACTAATAGGTAAAGAATAGAGCAAGAAAAGGAAGAAGAAGAAGAAGGATTTCCCAT